ACGTGCCCCCCCCGCTTATAGATGAGAGAGCGTAGTGTTGAAGAGGGCACAGCGATGAGAGTCGCATCAATGCGCAAATCAACGGGCAAGGAAGGGGTCCCATTTCTCGGGTTTCGGGCCGTTTCAAATGGTTTCTTCTTCATCCCTGCTCCACTACTACCCTTATTTCCAATGAGCTAACTTTTCATCGTAAATTCTGCCTTTAAATGAGCTGGACACTTGCAGCAAGTGAAAAGGAGAGATATGTCAAAAAGTAAGAGAAAGGGGAGACTAAAAACTAACCTGTACTTGTGTGGGGTTTTCTGGCAGATAGCGCACAACTTTGGATCTAACACTGGTTCTAATAAACCGCTTTCCTCGGCTTGCTGAAATAGATGAGATTACCAGCCACCTTTCCAGCCGTCCAACCCCAACGATTGACTATGCACCTTTTTGGCAACTCGGTTCAAAATTTCTTCAGGTGGTTCGTCATCACTTGTGGAGTCTTGAGCATCATCCAGCTCAATTTTTTCTGAAAATTATTATAAAGCTACTGGATAATCAAGAAAAAAGCACATTTCAAGAATGGAGAAGCATGAAGTGCGATAGTTCTTCCATCTTATGTAGTTCCAATTTTGCAGAGCGAGGAAATCCTCCGAGTGCGTGAATCAATTCACTTTTGGTCCCACACTCACCCTAACAGTTCCTTCCTCTGCAAAATGGAAATACTGTAGGAGACACTATCGCACCTCATGCCCCCTTATTGGAATGGGCCCAAGCAGTTTGGTTGAATGCTCTCCCTCGGCCACCCGTACCTCCAGAAAGCGGTATAAAACCGGAATCATCCGTGTCTAAAATCTCGCCTTCTTCACCTTCTGAGCCATCTGAAAAAGTCTATGTAAAATAAGTTAATACTGACAGCAACCATTGCAAATTTAAGCTGTTCCACTACTTTTCACGAGGGAACGTGACCGTGAAACCAACCATCATCTAGAGTAGAGTGCTTATCTTCTTCAGTGCATGAATTGACTACCTCGGCAGCCATAGTTTTTCCCAAATACTAAAAAATGTGCAGTGATCTCCGGTAACAATCGTAACGTTGCTCCACTACAGAGGGTACACCCTTCCTCTTGTTCGCAGGGCGCTCCTGTTACGATGGGTAGAACAATAATAAATCAACCCAGCCAAGCATGGTCGAGCAAGTGCCGCGCAGAGTGCTTCTGGCTGGGCTCAGTCTATCCTAAAACACTGCTCAAGGAAAGTAGAAATTTCAAGGGAACAAAGAAATTCTCCGCAGCTCGGTTCTCTCCTTCTATTGTTTTAGCCCTAAAATCAGAGCAATTTTGTGATCTGGCAAAAGTCGTTACGCGCTGCCCCACCTCCCGCCCAGAAGCACGTTGCTCTCAGCAGTAGAAAAGAATAGTGAAGTGGCTGGAATGAAAGATCACACTCAAGCAAACCCAAGGACGAGTGTCCCATACGAGCAAAATGCACGGCGCGGCAAACGGATAAATTCGCGCCGTTCGCCGCGTTTTGTCTGCTCCTTGCACTACTTGCTTCTTATTCGAAAGTCCGATCCGCATTTTCAGTTTGTGCTTGCATTCGGGCGCCTTTCATTTGTTGAGTGGTACAGCATTCTTCGCCGAGGAATTCCAGCTTCTCATTACCGATATCTGATTGTAGAAATCCTTGGTTTGAAAGATGGTGAGTTCAGAATCCCGCTTTTTTGTTTTGTGCTTTTAGCTTTGTTTTTCTAGGCAAGAAATGCTGAGAAAGCGATGACCGCTTTGGCGCGATGGCGTCGATTGAAAGAGAAAGGAAGAAAAGGTCAGTGGGACTTTCAGTCACTGGATGGTTTGAACAGCAGTAGCTGTTGCTAGCTTTGTTGTAAATACTGCGGCTACAAAGTGTTGCAGCACGAATTAGGGCGCAATGTGGCTCGGGGGGCCACCCTCGCAACATCGCGTCAAAATCACGGAAACGCTCCGTTTTAGGACTAAGCTTTTGAAGAGGAGAGGAACTCCGGTGTACGGAAGCAATTTTCGTATTCTCCGGAGTTCGTCCCTGCTGTTTAGGCTTAGTCCTAGATGACTTTTCTCAGAGTGCCCCCCCCCCCCGAGCCACATTGCGCCAAATAACTTAATCAATCTTCATGAATTTATTGGGGCGCCATGTCAGTAGGAGATCATTTCGCAGGCCGAATTCATTCTTCTCAAGGAAGTGGCGAAATCCCTCAGCTTACTTTGTTTATGATATAGTTTCTTTCATTTTCCAGAGCCATGTTTACTTTGACCTTCATACATTGCATTAAACGTGGCCCTTGATTAGGACAGTCTCAGTTGGGAAGACAGAGAAATTTAAAGAATCCTCGTTCCCAAACCTTTTGGGGGAGAATTGAATCCGGCCCCAGTGCAGAGCACCAAAAGCATTTGAATACTCACGGAAACAACTTTTGGACCAACTCCAGTAAGGGAGGCGTGTGCAACAAGTATTACCGTTCACAGAAATCCCAACTTTTGCACGGAGCGAGGAATATCCGGGGTGCGTGAACCATTTCGTTTACGCTTTTACACCCACCCCGAGCTTCCTTCCGCTGTGAAAACTGAACTTCAAGCGCTATAAATTATCGAACCACTATCCCCTCCCTGCCCTTTTTTTGCCTTCGCATCCCACACCATATATCTACTTATATGGCCTACGACTACTTAGCTAGTTCTAAGTAGGTTACAATCGAACAACGAATAGAGAATTTCGTCTAATCTTTTGTTTTGTCGGAAGTGATGTACTGTTAGTTTTTGCTTTGGTTATTAATCTCACATGAGAAAATTGGTTCACCCGCCTTCGCAGCTCCCTATACTCCTTGCAAAAGTTGTGGTTACTTTATTCGGCACAGGTTATCGCATCAAGTTAACCTCATCTGGAGGTAGTGGGAAAGTGAGATGGCTCTAGATAGATATGTTTACTATGCTGCCTCTTGTCACAGGATACAGATCATATTGTTGTCAAAGATGTACTTCTACCACTCTTCCCTTTCCCTTTTTGTCGACATGCTGAGACACGTTCTTTTCAGGGTCCAATAGCAAAAAGACCACACGACACGAGTCTTTGCTCAAACTTAGATGATGCAGAGCGTTTTCGTCGCGAGGTTTGATTAGTTTTTTCCATCATTATTTTGACTAATATTTGCTGCCTAAATCCTTATTCTTTGTTCCAGATTGCAAAAGAAATCGCCAAGAAGATCGCTCTCATTCAAAACCCCGGTCTTGGCGAGTTCAAGATACGTGACCTTAATGACGAAATCAACAAAATGATTAGGATCAAATACGCATGGGAAATGCGGATACGAGAATTGGGAGGGATGGACTACAGGTTAGGACTATGCTTTTGTAGCTACTCGAGATAGATTCTGAGTTTTTGCGACATGAACGGAAAGGCTACCAGAATTTTCCCGCTACTCATACCTTTTCATGAAACTCATAATCTGGGAGATGTTCTGAGTGCGTTGTTGGGAGATAAATCCTTTCCCATGAAACAAAACTTACTCGCAGAATCACCTTGTTATTACTCCTTACCGAATACAGTAAATTCATATGTCAGAGCAGCTAACGCCTGTTTTACGTCTTCCTTGAAAAGCAATTTATAGGCAAAATTGACAATTGCCATCGTCATGAATGTTTTAGGAAAATCTCAGCACGTGAACTTGACAAAGAAGGAAGGGAAGTAGCGTCAAATCGTGGCTACAAGTATTTTGGCGCAGCAAAGGATTTGCCTGGTGTACGGGAGTTGTTTGAAGAGTCGAAGGAGTTAGAGGTAACTCAGACTTTTTTTCAAGTGCTGTTTTTCATACCCACACGTTTAAATGATGAAGTCAGAATATTTTAAGCAAATGCGAAAGACACGAGCAGAGTTGATGAAACACGTTGATGCGGATTACTATGGATATTTGGATGATGACGATGGTTTGTTGATACCTCTGGAGAAAGAGGAAGAGAAACGAGCGATTGAACAAGCTGAAAAAGTTAGTGAATTGTAACAACATTTGTATTGGATATGTTACAGTTTTGCACTAATATAATTCTTCAGTCAGTATTTTGCTGAGCACGGCGCTGAACGCTTTCAAAAGGAGTTTGGAGATGATATGGATGAAGATATCTACAAAATCCGAGATGTGAGGATTTCATTTTGCTTTATTCAGTCTGTTGAGTTCCTTCACACTCAAGCATATACCGACTGAGTTTAGGGCTAGGTCCAGGAACACAAATAACTCTGTTTCTTAGGATTCCGATGGCGAAGACATAGACACTAAGGAATCGATTGTGGTGGGTGAGGATGGCAAGCAGATGACTATTTAGACACGTTTTGGTAAGCTTCTTAGTTTTTGTTACTTTTGTGACGCGGTGGTTCTACAAATGTGCTTTTTAGGTACCAAGTCAAAGTGACATCGAAGAAATGATTTGATTGAGAAGGAAAAAACGGGGAGCTTTTTTATGGGAGAAAATATCTCCACGACAAAGCTGATCTCCTGTGTACATATTTAATTACCATTTCTCACAAAAATGGCGAATTTGGCTTTGAAGCAGTTGTTATCTGTTGATGTCAAATGAATTTGTTAAGTATTGGGTATCGCTTGGACAGTCAAGGTTGTTGTCCGATTATGTGCACGATAAATTGCAGCAATAGCTCAACAAGGAATGCAAGCGTAAAAAGCTTAAGAAGGAGATATAACTGCTAATAAGCAAGTGTATACGATGTGGTTTACGGACTACTTGATTTTTCCTCAATGGTCCTGCCGCGATGGCTAGAGCACAGACGATTAGGAGAACGGGTGAATGCCCTAGGACTAAGCCTTGGAGAGGAGAGGGACCCGCGAGAGAACGCAGAGGCGGTTTAAAAGGCTGAGTTCAAGTAGTCCGTCGACCCTACCACAGATGGCACAAGCCTGGCAAAGGGAATACGACAAGTAGGACTGTGAACATTGTGAATTTGATGATTTCGCAGAATCTAGTTCTGCCACAGTTTTGAGCCTCTTCTAGGGCCTCAAACTCTGCCGTGAGGCGGGTACAAAACCGCCGCGTAGTACCGCAAAACTCGATGAGCACCAGAATGTTGCTTTCTTTAGGATGAGAGGCTCGCGGTGCATTAAGCGCGACCCGGTGAGTTTTGTTCCAATAACGCGCCTACGTGGGCGAGCCGCGTCGCGCGCGAGCTTTCGGCGCTATTTTTTTTTCCGTTGGGCTTCGCAATGGCGTTCCGGGCGGGGTGATTTGTTTGTGGTTGCACGTTCTCTCTGTGCTCTAGCGCTTCGGTGCAGAAACACCGCGATAGCGCTTCTATGATGGGAGAGTGCAATGGACGCCAGAGACAGCTGAGTCACACCTGGCTATACGATTACCGGGCGGGCGCACTTGCTCACGTGCCTGGCGATTTATGGGAGATCTCCGCGATGGCTCCTATGAGCGTTCAATTCGTGGCAAAAAACAGTATGTGTCTGTGCACGATCGAGGGCCGTTCTATGAGAAGCCGTACCCGCCATCTTCTCGGAGGTGGGGTTCAATTTGCTGGTTTTGAACAAATCCAATTTTTCTGGTTTACAGACTTTACTTCTTTGGCATTATCAAACACTATTACAACCCCAAAATCTCAAAATTTTATTTTTCGTCGAAACTTCCTCTATAGGGGTAATTCGGTGCCCTGATTACGAAAATGACATTCATTTTTGGCGGTGGCGCCATCTGGCGCCAGTTGGCGCCACCTTGTCACGACACATGTTTTCACCAAATTCGGTGTAAAGTTCTGTATAGGGGTTATTTGATGTCCTGATTACGAATATGACATTCGTTTTTGACATTACCGCTGTTTACCGCATACTTCCCGCTTTTCTGGGCTCTCTCACCTATACATAGCGCCTTGGGACTAAGCTTAGGGGATAGGGAGACTCGGAATGAGTGAATCAGGCACCGTGTGACGAAGATGGAGCGTGTGAGATCACAGGGTGGGGTAGCTCACTCACTCGTAGCCCTCCTCACCCCTAAAGCTTAGTCCTGATCGCAATCTAATCACTAGGAGGGCGCAGACGAACAGAATAAGGCACCAAATGGAGCTAGCGCCAAGAATGAATGTCATATTCGTAATCAGGACATCAAAAATGATCCACTCGGAAGTTTACAACGAATTTTGTTAAAAACAAACGTAATGACACGGCGACGCCAGAATTGGCGCCACCGTTTGAAAATGAATGTCATTTTCGTGTTAGGGTTACCAAAATTACCCTTGACGTGCAAAGCTTTATTTGAATTTTGAGGTTGTAATTAGCTGAATACTGCCCTTTCTTCTTTTTGGAGGTGCTTTGCTTTCTGAATATCTGTGCAAAGAAAGTCTTTTACCATTAGTCTCATTTACAGTGAGAGTTCGCAAAGCGACGAGTTAAGTTGCTTTTCATGGCTGAAGTACGGGATTTTCGCAACCAATATAGTTCTCTTGGTGAGCGATTTTACTACATTTGGAATTATCTTCTTTTTCGAATAAGTCATATTTTTGGTAATATTCGATTGTTACAAACCAAGTGGTGGGGTTTATGCTGTGGCAGGTGGCGGTATTTACCACGCGCGCGGTCCTGGGGACAAGTCCTGGTCGTGCGTCGTCCTGGCCAGCCGAGCCTCCAGGTCGTTTAGTGGTACCAGACTTGTCTGGGAGGATAAAAACACTGACTTGTACATCGGCTGGCCCCGCAAGTCATTGTATAGGCCACATCGCATTCAAATGCCACTGCGAATGTACAAATGGAAGTAGAATGCGTGCCGCATCCCAAAACGGGATTGATCAACGGCAAATGCCTTTATCCTTTACAATCCCAGTAGGCCATGAAATTTTTTTTCTGAACCATCTATCTACAGAGCTTATTGGCGCTACTCAGTTGACGATTCCGAAATTCCAAAGGTTTATTTTTCGTGGAAACTTGTCATAGGGCAGTTCAGTGCCCTATTAACGAGTGACATTCACTTTTGACGGTAGCGCTAGTTCGGGTTCCTGCGGTAAATGAGTTAGTAATAAATAGCAAGCGAACTTTGGGATTGCGGCGCTTTTTTGAAACTTCTGCTTCGAACCCTTTTTTGCTGTTCACTTCAAGTATGTCCTAGGTCGTCGGTGGCCTGTTGTTGACTATGGGGGTTTAGAGATTTCATCAGTGAAAGGTGAGCACTCCGCGTACCAAACTTTTTCATTCAGTATTTTGTACTCTTTTTATCACATTTTTTATTTTCCGCGTTCAGATACCGTCAAGCTGTAGGTGAAGCCTTTTGGGAAGCTCCAACTTTGTATGCATTTTCGTATATTATAATCGTGCTTGGATGCTGCATGATCGTTATTTCGTTCCTTGGTAGGTTGGCAATGTCTACTTAGTACATATATTTTATGTCGCTATTATTAAGAGAAAAAGCTATTGCAATGTACGGTGACATTGTAATGGCAATGCATTTGAAACCACGTAAAACAGTTTTTTTGTTGTTAAAATGGGACCAAATTCAGGCGGGGAGAAGAGGCCCGAAGTTGCGTGAGCAATTTTCATTTCCCCGAAGCTGCTGCCTCCTAGAATTAGTCCTAGAGGATGCCCCCGCATATTGCAATAGCGCCGAGAGAAG